TCCTTGAAGCAAACGTGTGTGATCCACAGAAGGCTGTTGAAAGGGTCCCCTCGAGACAACGGGGCGGGTCGAATTAGTAAGCATTGGGTGCAGAAGTTCCTTCAGCATACCCATGACGAAGAAGTCGGCCAAGGGATATCGGTCTTGGTCGCGCGCCTGTCCGAAGACCAAGCAGCGGCCCTGAATGCCTGGGACGGTGAGGTGACGGATGAAGGAGCGAAGCCAAGTAAAGCCTGGCAGGGGAGACTCTACCGGGAGATCCTCCCACATGCTGATGCATATTTGCGTGAAGAAGCTGAGATGTCCGATGACTTTATGACACCGCCAAAGCCGAAAGTCGAGCTGGAAGAGGGTGCGGGACCGGCGATTCCACCCTTCCCAGACCTAGATGATTCAGATCGCCAGGGAAGAATGGAGGCGGCTCGAAGAGCTCTTGACCAGCACATTGAGGGAGAGATAGATTCCGAAGTGTTGCAGACCGTGGCCACTGCCTTCGACCTAGATCATGAGCAACTGGCTCAGTCGATGTATGCGAGGAATCACCGCCTTAGCTACTCGAAGCCAACGACACCACCAGGATTGGGAGCCGACCAAAGCGAAATGGAGTTTGCAAGAAGACCCGTGACGGCAACTATGCCAGGAGGAGTGACCGTAAAGCCAGCAGTCCCCCGGCCGGCGAATCCACTTCTGCCGAGGAGCTCCTCCTCAATCTCCCCGGCCCAGAGAGGTGGATTGTCGCTCTTTCCCAAGGGGTCAGGCGGTCGAAACAGTCTCGTGAAACCAGCATCGGAGCAGATGCCGGAGGGCAGAGCAGGAGCCACGTTCGGAGAAGCCCTCGGAGACAGCACACAAGTCCAGAGCGCGGACCGCATCATTCACGCCATCGACGGTCTGAGAAGAGCACAGGATGACGACAAAAACCTCACGAAAGGGACCTTGAGTTCTATCAAAGAGGCGGAGAAGATGGACGTCTTCCTGGCACGAGGCTGTGGCACCCTGACCGTTGAACTCGCACCGGGAGTGTACGGGAAGGAACTTTTCCACGCGGGGAAAAGGGTGGCAAATCACGCTCGCCATATGCTGCACTTGATCAAATGGCCGGTGCCGATGACCAACAGGGTCCTACTTGGCATCGCTGGTCTGTGGTGGGGTGGCAAAGACACCTATACCTTGCACGCAAGTGACTGCGTTACCGCTCGGTCCGAGCAGTTGGACAGTTGGAATCCGTCCTCCGACAACAAGATCGAAAATCGCATGAGACCACCAGGAGTCTTCAACACTTGGCTCAGGTATGCGGAAAACTCAGTTCGCGTGTTTGGATCCTGCTATGGTACAGAGCATATCCAAGAAAGGCTCGATTGTCTCCAAGCCCTGAAGGAGGCCCATGAAGAAGACGAGCATGCCTTCCCAGCTGCTTACTGCATCGAGCTCTTTGAGGAACTTGTCGCGGCTTGGTGCGAAGAACTGCGAGAAAGCAGAAGGAAACTCTGCTCTCTGCTGGGGACCGAAAATCCACGGCTTGAAGACCTGAAGCTGCTAGCTTTGGCGCCGGGAGCGGATGGGCAAGCAAACTTCCAGTTTCCAAGCATATGGGATCTGGGCGACCCGAACGGATATTACCAGACAGTTGTGGTACCCAGGCAGCAAAGGCAAATGTCGAGGCTGCTCCACAAGCAGCTGCACGACCACAACCTCAAGCAGAAGAAGACAGCTGGTCCAGCTGAAGATGAAGAGCCAAGGACAGGGAAAGCCCCAAAGCTTAACCTGAAAGACAAAGAGGCCGATGGATATGCGGGCGGCAGCATGAAATCAGCCTACCCAGCTGGAAAACGGCTTGCACAAGGAGAAGCTTCACGGTCCGTGGAGCACGCACCTAAGGATCCCAAGACCAACAAACCTATCTGCTGGGATGCGGCCACACACATGGGATGCACAAGAGGCGACAAGTGCCAGCACGCGCACGAGCCTTTGCCGGGATTGGCCAAACTTGACTACACAGTTGCCATGCAGGTCATTCGAAGAGGAGGACTCAAAGGTGGGCCGAAAATCGATCCCAAAGAGGTCGACGGAAGGGTCGCTCAGCTGCGAACCCAGGCAGCGGCGGATAAGGCCGACAAGATCCAACCTAGCAAGAAAGCGAAAGTCAAGCCCAAGCCAAAGGCCAAAGCTGGGAAGGAAGCTGAGGGTAAAGCTGAAGAAGACAAGGTTGGGAACACCCAGTGAGTCGCACCTGAAGACTATGATATCCCTCTGACCCATCTCGAGACTGACTTGCAAGAGGCGGTTCAGGGCCCAGATGAGGGCTGGCTGCGAATACCCTCACAACCCACTGAGCAAGAAGCCGCTCCGGCTTGGGATGACCAGAGCCAAGAGGAGCGGGAAAGGCTGAAACGATGGAAGTCGCTGGAGGAGAAAGGGGTTCTGGCGGCCTTGGAGTCGCCCACGGATTATCTTAGGTCCCATGTGATTGCACGCATGATGGCAGCACAAGATGAAGGATATGAACTGGAGCTGAACCGGTGTCTCGAAGATGCGGCAGAACATGGACATCCCGCGCTCTCTAAGGAAGCCGGACGTCAACTTGAGCTCCTCAAGCACGAGCCAAAAGCGGGTCACCAAGCGGATGTCGAATTTACGCCCATCACATGGGACGAGGGTATTGGTCATGGCCTGTTGAACTTTCAAGGAAACTTGTCGCATATCGGCTCAGTCACGGTCCGTGACTACCAGGATCGCTTGAACGCAAAAGACAGCGAGGTCCCACTGCAAGACGGGCAGTTGGAAGAAGAGCGCCAATGCCTGCTTCTTCATGTGGGTGTCGGGTTAGCGTTGGCCGATGATCCATCTGTAGAACTACGAGAGGCCGTAGCCAGAGCCAACCAGTTGAGAAAACATCTCTGGGATGAAGCAGTGGAGGCTCACGCACACCTTGGCGATCCGCCAGCGTGGATACCTGAGGGCGAGCACTTCTTGCGTCAAAACGTCCATGATTGCCTCTATCCTCACCACGAGAAAGACTACCGCGCCTTGCAAACCCTCACAGGATCCATGCTGCAAGGATACACGTTGGCGGTCCTCAGGATTTCCTATTTTGGTCGGTTGGAGGTCGACCTGCTCCACGGAGATGATGCTGGCAATGGGAAGCTAGTTTTCGTTACCATCCACCGGGGGCATATGCGCCTGCTTCTTCCACAACAGCCCCAGCAGCTGTTGGATCACCTGAGGACTGCAGACAAGGTCACCAGGGAACTTCAAGTTGAACATTGGAGGGTGATCTTGGACCAGAGCAAAGTGGAGGATCAGATGGTTCCAGCCAAGTCCCCCGCCTGCACAAGATGCCAGCAACAGCAGCAAAGGCTTTATCGTGTTGGTGAAGGATTCCCGTTGCCACCGGCTTCATTTGAGTCCTGCTTGCAGGATGATCCACAGGCTCTTCAAAACAGCGGTGTGCCTCTGCGAAAAAGGCTCGCCTTCGCCTATGGGCCAATTGGTCAAGAGGTGTACGCTGGATGGGCAGGATGGACCAAGGGGCTTCAGTACCAGGGGATCCCGTGCGGAGAACCCATTGAATACTATGAGGACCCGATCGAGCAAAAGGGCTTTAAGCCGCAGCATGATACCCGTGACCCGAAGGTCCGAGAACGATTGCCGGGATTAGCTGGTGCTCCACCAGGGCCCGATGTCCCCAACACTTGGCAGCTTGGAGTCGTTTGTACTTCCTTCTGCGACCACCAGCTGAAGAACGGTGGCAGCAGGACCTGGCAACGCCCACAAGGCGACGGCACTCGTCCCTCTGAAGTTCAAGGAAATGAAGACGCAGAGTTCGCAGCCGAACTTTGTACGGTTCTGGCGGACAGCGGAAGAGTCTTCGCATTGGAGAGTAGCGCGCCGTCGGGCCGCTACCCCAAGATATGGGACCTGCCTTGTATGCAGAGGCTCCGCCGCCGCACCGGCGCAAAAATTGTCTCTATGGCTATGTGCGCTTGGGGTCTGGGACCGCCTGAGACTGAGGAGGGCCTGTTTCATCGCAAGCATTCTTGGTGGCTGGTCTCCCCAGAACTCTACCCATGGGCCTTGTTATTCCTTGGTAGGCAGTGCCCAGGAGTCGGCCCGACTCACCAGCACGCACCCTTGAAGGGACCCAGTCCAATTCTCAAGTACCTCTCACTCGACTGGCACAGCAATACGCACCAGCTTTGTGTGCAGCCTGGGGTCTGGTAGTCCGAGCAGCCTTTGAAGAATGGAGCTGGACAACATATCTGCAAGAGCACAGCGTGCTCAAAGCCCTAGAGAAATGTTGGACCGAACTGGACGCACCCCCTTGGCCGGCTGATCCAGCCAATACGTTGGAGCGAACCCTTGGCCAACATTTGGCACCGGTGGTTGCTGGCCAAGCGGATGGACCAGGCCTCCCACATAGCTACACCTGTTCAGGATGCGAACTCCAACAGATGGTCTACCCTTGTACGTTTTGTGGGGGGGAGGGGTCTGTTTCCGATCCCGAAAAGCAAGCTGAGGGGCAGGGCACAAGGGCAGGCAGCGTCGACGACGCCAATGGCCAAAGCACTGCTGAGAAATACTTGGAGGTATGCCAGAGTGCTTACAGCAAGGAGGCAGTGAGAAAAGCCACAGAGGCAGGAAATGCGTTGTTGAGGGCCGCCGGCTCGGTGCCAAGAGCAGCTGAATTAGTCAACAAAGCGAGGCTGAGGAAGTATGGGGAACACTTCCAGAAGGCAAAGGAAGGAGCATTGAAAGGGCTCAGCCCCCTACACGAGCAACACTTGAAAGACTGTGTGCTCAAGGGCGTGCCCAGCCGAGCTAAGAGTACCCCCAAGAGAGAGAAGGCCTGAAACCACGGCTCCGTCAGGGGGCACGAGGAAGAGATGCTGCAGAAGGCATGGAAAGACGCATCTTATGGGGCGGTACTTCTGTGTTCCACAGAGACCGAGGACCAAGAAGAAAATCGGCAAATCGACCAGATACTGACCGAGAGCAAGGTGGCCGAGAGCCCTCTCGGCCGAGTGCCCAAGCAAAACCCCGACAGAACCATCTCAGCGGAAGGTCGTCCCATCAACGATATGCGAGCCAGGAATGCTTCGGGCTCAAAATACGACCACCCACCCGCCGCTCAGCCTAGGCACAGAGCAGTGGTCAGGCAAAGCCTTTGGTGGAGGGTGCGACACCCGAAGGTTCCACAGAGGTGTGCGAAACGCGATGTGCCAAGGGCTTTCAAGTGGCACTTCCTCAAGCCGGGCGATGTCCCTGAATTCTGCACGAGGATTCTAGGTGTGCTGATCCTGAGTCTGGTGATGGTGTTCGGTTGGGTAGGAGCGCCAGGGAGTTCGTGATATGGGCCACCGCAGCCCAAAAGCACCACGGGTCGTTCCGACCATGCCATCCTCAATTCAACGATGTGGTTCCCTACACCAGCCGATGGCTGATGGATGACGGCGTGGTGGTAGAGCCACTAGTGGGGAATAGGATCCAGAGATCCCTGTCAGCAATGGATGCAGCTATGGTATCAATCTGGGGCCCTGGAGCCATTAATCTCGACAAGCTCGCCGAAGAAGGCACCCCGGCAAAATCCCAGCTCCTGTGGGGCCTCCACCTAGACTTTGAAGAACAGGTTGTGGTCCTCCCGGAACCGAAGCGAATAAAGGCGAAGTATTTCCTAAGAGAGCCTCAGCTTCAAAGGGGGTGCCAACGAGTTCGTACCAAGCTGCTCCGAGAACTGGCAGGGACAGCGCAGTATTGGGCCGTCTCCGCTCCGGAGATTGCACCCTATCTACCAGTCTTTTACAGGCTCCTGCAGCAGGAAGTAGGCGATCATGAATGGGTGAAACCCAGGGGCTCCGAGAGTGAGCTAGAGGCTGCCTGGGCTGAGTTCTGGGATGCGCTCGATTGGGTTCGCCTCCAGATGGAAAAGCCTTGGGGAACCAGTTTCAGAGCAGCTTTCGGCAAGCTCCTGCCGTTAAGGGAAAGGCTCGCACTCCCTGGCATGGCCGCTTCGGCCCGATTCGTTGGAGGAGATGCCACGCTAACCAGGCTCGGAAGCACTGATTGGAAGGATAGATGCTACCACATGGCGGACAGCAGCAGATACGTCAGGGCCGTGAGCGAAGTCGTAGGGGGCGGAGATCACTTGGAGATCATCGGAGTGATGGAGCTTCTGACGTTCATTGTCCTGGCAGCGGCGCGGAAGGAAACCTGGCAGGGGCAACTGATCCTTTATGTGACTGACAACATGAATGTCAAAGCATGGTTACGTACCAGGCGCGCTTGAAACAGATACGTGAGGGCGCTCTTGCTGCTGCTCCAGCGGCTCGAAGCGGAGAATAGCTTCACTGTCGATGGAGCGTACGTCCGTACCTACCACAATACTCTCAACGACTGGCTGACAAGGGAGGATGAAGACAAGGTCCATGCGGAAATGGAAAGCAGTGGCTGGACCCGCCTCGAGCTCAATGAGGACTGGGAAGGACTCCTGCGAGAAGCCATGCGCCCCGCGTTGAAGCTACCAGGGGAGAAGGGCCCGAGTGCAGCTTTAGCCATTCAGCTGGCCAACGAACAGCAAACCGTGCATGCCTTCCCCGCCAAGATCGAACCAAAGCCATTCAAAGGGAGACTCCACCAAATCCGGCTAGGGTCGGAACTACTGACGTTCGAGCTGGGGTGGGTCAAGGGCGGAGGATCGATCGCAAGCCAGGCGCAAGCTGACTGGATCGTCTGTGTTCTCACTCAAGACCCAAAAGGGCGGGAGGCAGACATCCTTCTAAAAACCCTCGCCAGAACTGATTGGAGAGGACGACTTATCGTTGACCAGCCCAGGGAGCTCTCTGAAACCAGCGGAAATCGCCTGATGCAGCTTCAGGTTCAATGGGGTCAGGCACAAGTGGTCGACTATCAGACTTCACACCACGGCAGCTTCTTTGCCAGGGCCAGAAGACTTTGGCTTTTTGGAGGAACGGCCGACGAAAAGGAGAGAGTTCAAGCATGGCGAGTTGCACAAGTCAACGAGTGTCAGATGTTACCTCTGCGATCCGCAGAGGAGTCAGGTAAGGGATTATGCCCGCCCGACTACCTTTTCACGAGAGAACCAAACCTCATCACCACCGGAGACAAGTGGCTTCCAAAACCAGTCAGCCACTTGGTTGACGTGCGCGCCGGCAGCAGGCACCTGGTCCATAGCACACGGGGCCCAGCTTGCGGACCTAGGCTCACAGGTGAGCGTCTCAAGATCCCAGGAGGCACCCTGTTGGAAGATGGGACGGGTCTGGTCCGTCCTCTCCTCCCAGAAGAGGTGTGGGAAATGCAAGGGGGCCTCGCAGAGGATTGGCGTTCCGCCGACTCGAAGAAAAAGGATCGCATGATAGCAGCTGCAGTCCGGGAGCCAGGCTGGCAAGTGGCTATGAGTCTCATGCAGGCTCTGACTGGAACCGATGGGAAGGCAGGAGTCCTGGACCCCGATGAGATCCAAGCCCACGAGCAACTAGAGGTCTGGCTGCGAGCGTGGGGGAGGAACCCGAAGGCTCCCTCTTCCGAGCTTTTCCTTACTTCGTGGAAAGAGCCACGTGTGGCAGTGGCACCCACTCATGAGTTCGTGGGAGCGACAACCCAGGCGAAAGCAGGCGGAGGCAAACGCACCACCGTGAAGCCAGCACTCAGTGAAGTGGAGAGGCTGGTCCAGCCCGCATCCAAAAGAGGCGGGACTACTGGGACCCCCCGCCCCCGAGGAGGGAGCACAGCAGAGCTTGACCAGGTAGCCATGGAAGCTGTCTTGGCCAAACTGGCTGATTCAACTCGCAGGGTCTATGCATCAGGCTGGAAGCTATGGGCGTTGTACAATGCCAGCTCGGGCACTCACCCGTTCCTTGACGGAGAAGAGCGCTCCGCTCGGACTGAAGACGAGCAGAGGTTGATTCGGTTTGTAGTATTTCTACATCAAGTCATGGGAAGGTCCATAGGTGGGGTCAGACAAAGGTTGTCAGCCATTCGTTATGCACATGTTGCGGCAGGATACCCTGATCCACTGGTCGGGCGACCTCGGTTGTGGGCAGCGGTTGCGGGTCTACAACGTTGGGAAGGCGCCCCAAAACGAAAGCTCCCTGTTACCCCCAACATGTTGCGATGGTTGGTCCAGCACTTGAAAAGTAGCGGTTTATCAGTTGTCGATCCAACCATGATCAAAGGAGCCCTTCTTACAGGTTGGTTTTTCATGATGCGGGCCAGTGAACTCTTGCCCAGTATCAATGGAGAAGACCCCATGAATAGGGCGCTCCGCCCAGCTGATGTTGCTTTCTTTTCGCATGGGCAGCCTACCATAGGCGCCAAGGCCGATGAAGTCGTAGTGCAGATTAGATCTTCAAAAACCGATCAGTATGGTAGGGGCCAAACACGGTCACACCACCGCTCCGGTGGAGATCTCTGCCCTGTTGAAGCCTTAGCCGCGCTACAGGTCCCACAGCCCCATCGGTGGCGCAGCCCTGAAGACGAGGCGCCTTTGTTCCGCTATGAAGACGGGACGGGGCTTGACAGAGAGGGCATCACCCATTTCATCAAGATAGCTGCATTGGCCGCCGGGTTTCCTGGCGAACTCGCTGGTTCACACTCACTACGTAAGGGGGGAGCCACTGCATTTTTCGCAAGTACTGGGGACTTAGAAAGGCTTAAGAGGTACGGTGGTTGGTCATCCGATGCTGTTCATGCTTACCTTTATGAAGATCATACCGCTCAGAAAGGGATTTCAGAAGGGATGTTGGGTACCAGCCTCATTACACTCCCCAGCCGAAAAGACCCCGGGGTCCGTAGGCATCCAGCGGTTGTTCCAACTGAACCCCAAGAGTCCTATCCTGGTTTATTGGGGGTCCCTCAAGATGAGTTATTCCATAACAGTCATGGAGGATCAAACCCTTTTAGCAGCCCAGTTGCCACGAAGCGAACATCCAGAGCTCCTCGAGGCTCAAACACCAATCGTGCATTTTCGTGGGCACCAGATCGTAAGGTATCGTTTGCAGTGAAGGCTGGTGCTATGGATGCTACTGATGAAAGTGCCGATGGGGGACGAAAGCCAGCAGCTCCAGATCGAGCCAATGCAGCGAACCTCTTTGTAGCAGCTCACCCAGGACTAGATCTTTATCAATTCCTGGGTGTTCCACCCGGTGCGACTCCAGCTCAGGTGCTCACCGCATATCGTCGCAGGTCCCGTGAGACTCATCCAGACCGCTTTGCAACTGCTGGGGAAGATGTCCAGAAAGCCAAAGGAGAGGAGTTTAAGATGTTGGGAATGGTCCGAGAGATCCTCTTGGATCCACTGATGGCCACTCAATACATGAGGTGGAGACAAGAGCAAATTGCTGCAAAGCATGGGCGAGGCCGTTCCCCAGTTGTTCCAGCTGGTGTCTATGCCAAGCAAGCTTCATCATTCCAACAAGCCAGATCAAGTTTTGATCGGTCCTCCACTCCTGCTGGCGCAGGAGCCAGCAGCTCGGGAGGAGCAGGCCGGGAGGTGCCTCGTAAACCGCCCCCCCCTTCACAGGGATATCCTGGAGGAGGAGCGCAAGGAGGACCGCCCCCAGCCAAAGCCCCTCCTGCTCCAGCAGGGACCGCGCAAAAGCCAAGGAAACCTCCACCGCCCGCGAATCCGCCTACTCCGAGCTCAAGTGCGAAGCCAAGGAAAGCACCGCCACCAAGAAATGATGATGGGAGGCCCAGAGGACCTACCACCCCACCAATGCAAAAAATGGCACCCACGCAAGCTATTCCAAAGGGAGCACCGCCAACACCGGCCAAGCATTTCCCCAGGGCGACCCAACCATACACTGGAGGGGGCATGGTGGACGATTTGCGAGTTCCTCGCATCGCACTGGCAGATGCAGGGGTGAAACGATCAGACGCTCCGTCTGAGTCTTGGTGGTCAGAGACGTCATCCAGATACAGGGCCCCTTCGAGCTGGTTGGAGCCCGGGTCTGAGCCTTGGGTCGAAGATGACCTTCCACCGGAGAGCACCGTCCCAGACAACGAGGATGACTATGTGTATGTTGAGGTGGAAGCTGAAGACGATGACATGGACATCCTCCAAGACCACCAATTCGATGAAGAAGATTGGGACGAGCCGGCATGGGAAGAGCTCCCTGAGGAGGGGACCGGGTCTGAGCAAGTCTTCCAAACCTTCGATCAAGCCGTGATGCAAGGACTGCTCCAGTTCATGGATTTCGTGAACAGAGGACGGGCCAAGATGCTGATTGAAGGTGCTCCACCTATGACTTCTGTCCCAAAAGAGGTCCGGGAGGCATGTTTGGGAGACCATCCGGGGCTTCTAAAAATGCATCCCAGCGCAAAAGCATGGCTAATGGCAGGGACGAAAGGTGTCGAATTCAAGAAGCCACCACCTCCTAAGCCTCCCATGCTTTCGGCTCCCCCAAAGGTGGCTCCGCCGCCACTTCCAAAGCCAGCTCATCCAGAACAGGTACCTGAGCCAAAGGAGCCGCCGAAAGCCCTAGCCCCCAAACCAGTTCCTCCAGTGCTGATGCAGAAGACACCAGCACCAAAGAAGCCCCCTCCGCCACTGCCAGCAGCCAACTATGCCATGCCGGCAAGAGCTATGGGACTCGGTTCAGGCGCAACAGCATCATCTTCTGAGGGCGCTCCGCCCACTGAGGTGAACCACTTTGGGTTTGACGAGTCTGAAGTCGACTATGGTGATGACGATGATCGAACCCCTGAGGAGAAGGCAGAAGATGAGGAGCTGCTCGAGAAGACCAAGACGAAAGTGGAAGCTTTCCTGCGAGCACCCCCAGAGATGAGGAAGACGCTTCGCTCCCAAGCATGGAAGCAGTGCAAGAGCAAACTGGAGGAGCTCAACTTTGAGTTCAGCACTCGTCCACTGCCCGAAATGCACCCAGGCAAATTCGAGAAGGATCTCAAGGATGGCTTCACCTATGCGGAGGCCAAACAACGCCAAAAGGGCCGGCAACGGGCCGCCCGACATCAGCGAGCCTTGGCTGAAATGGAGGGTGCCTCCTTTGAGGATTTCCCGAAATCCTGGTCACATGGGTATTCCAAGCAAGTCCTGAAGCCGGGTTTCCTCGAAGAGAAGAACAAGGAGCGGGCCCGCCGAAAAGCTACAAAGGCCAACTATCGATCCGATAGATCACGCAGCACTCCACCACCTCGCCAGTCAGCTGCTCCAGCTCCTGCATCCAACCAGGCTGAAGCTGAAAGCACGGCCAACTGGGAAGCAGGAAGTCAATGGCACGACTGGCAAGCGAGACGCAGCAGTGAGTGGCAACGGCATCAACCAGATGTCACACAACGGAGAGATGCAAATGCCGCAGACGATGACGACTGGGGCAACTGGACCAGAGATGGGCAACGAGGCAGCAACCAAGATGGCTGGTCCAGCTATGACTATGGAAACCATCAGGATCGACAGTGGAACCAGTGAGACTTTGCCGTGGCAATTCTGCATTCATCCGTGTTCCATGGAGGCTTCAACGTACAGGTTGCCTACTGAGAGCCGGGGAATGTCTGAGGCAGCCTTGATTCTTTGTTTCACGGTCGATACCATGTGGGTTTTCTTTTGCATGTCCATTGTAGATTTTTATTTGGCGGATGCCCATGCCTATTTCGGGGGGATATGCCGCTGACAGAATGTCGGCTGGCAAGTCTCTCTGGGTGAGTGGTTTGTACAGAGACTGCACCACTCGTCACAGACAAAAATAGGAGTCGTGAGCGCTCCGCTTGTTTTGGTAGCATGTCTCTAGCTAACTTGGATGTTCACTAGAACGGAGGGTTAGCGTGTTTTGCTACTGTCATTTTGGGCTCAAGTCTTTGCCCATTTTGATTGTTGGCCCTCCCACCCACCCGGGGGGATATGCCGCTGACAGAATGTCGGCTGGCAAGTCTCTCTGGGTGAGTGGTTTGTACAGAGACTGCACCACTCGTCACAGACAAAAATAGGAGTCGTGAGCGCTCCGCTTGTTTTGGTAGCATGTCTCTAGCTAACATTACCATTACCATGCGATCCCGCTTTTCCCGGCTATGCCATGCGACAGGGTGCGCTTGAAGTGGAGTTGGGGCAGCTCAGAGGGACCACATGACCACTAGCTTTGCACTGTATTGAGATTGCTGAGCAATGTGGTAAATCCATTGTAAATCCGATCATAAACTCCAGTAAATCAATTCCCAGTTGACTCTACTTCTGTGCAGTGAGTGCAGCAAACTGAAATGCATGATATCACCATTTCTGTTTGTTTGAACCACATTTTTGGTGGGTCCAAAAAAAACTTGTTGCTCCTTGCTCTCCATTTATCACCCTCTGAACAGATCATAAACGTCCTATTTTTTTTGCGACATTGCTATATTGGCTTAAGGCCAAATACTCACACATTTGTGGGTTCTACAGTTCTACACCATTCTCTTTGCAAACAAATGCTATGAAATGGTATGAAATGGTATAAAGTTCCCATCATATCTGGGGTCTAGGGGCTGGACCCTGGTGGTTCATCGAGGCTTACTGCCAGGCCAAAGAGAAGCTTGGGCAAAGCCAAGGCACCAGCTTTTCGGAATTTTTGATGGGTTTTTCAGAAGCAGAAATTGGAATGTCACCAGAAACGGGGGAATCAACTAACGAGAAACTAGAGATTTGACATGATTGGACTGATTTGAGAAGCCTGGTGGATTGAACCAACCTCACATGTGATTCCGACAAACCAACGTGGGGGATTGAACCAACAACCCTGGAGATTTCACCAAAAAACATGGTGGAAGTCGCCCAACCCTGCAGGCTTCACCCGCCTCTTCGCGAGCATAGGCCTCAGTGTGTCTCTGGTCCATCAGCCATTCATCACTTAAGTTGGTAAAGATAAAGATCAGAGGGGGTACTCTTGTCCCAAATAAAGATAAGCAATCGAAACTTTGGCGGACATAAATGTTTGTCCATGTCTTAAATGCTGGGGAACCATGAATGAAGCACTTATTTCAAAAGGTTCCCCGTTATTTTTGTAGATATCGCAGCTGAAAAACTTGAGGTGATGACCCCAGGCCTGGATCCAGAGGAGAACCTTGGTGCCACGCCACCAAGACCTCCCAGGGTGGCTTAGCTGCACAGCATGGCATAGCATGGCTGGGTGGCTCCAAAAGTCAACAGTACTTTTTGGGCACATTTTCTCAACACCACTTTTTTGTGACCAAATTCAATTTTCTAGTTCTTGAAGGGAGTGGTTGGTGGAGAACCCCTTTGAACACCGACCATACAGGACTTTTCTTTCAGAAGAGAAGACGACAGACAAGTCGTTCCTTGTTTTCAAGGCTTGGGGCGGGAGAGGCCACAGGACACCGACTCTTGGCACCAACACAACACCACTAGTTCTTCGAAAGAGATGTTCGATGGACACTCGCCCTCTCACTTTGTTTTGGTTTTGAACGTGCTTTAACCATTTTAAGACCCGATCTCTATGGGTCCTTCAAAGATACATTAAAATACATTGATAGATCGTTGTCGGATGGACAACCACTGGGCCATCTTCTCCACTTCCTCCCATTGATTCGTGGATAACAACAGTAGACAACATCCGTAAGGACACACTGGACACACTCGTGTTTTCACAAAAGCCGTCGTGTCTTTTGACTGCGCCGAGGCACAACCTTCGGAGCCGGCTGGGTCACCTCCGCGCTCCAGAGTGTCTGAAGGACGAAAACAGTTTAAACAGTCTGCCCAGAGGGGAAATGCGACTGACACGCCTCATTCACTTTTTTTGCAAAGAGGTTAAAGAGGATGTCTGGGAGCAATATCACTACTGTGGAGCAAGGAACGTTGATTCAGATCTCATTCAATGACCTATTGACTGCTCCTATTCTGCTGCCCCAGGAGCGCAATCAGAGTTCGGGTACCAAGAATTTCGATCCGGTCAATCGGCCAATCGGCCAATGTTTTGTTTTGTGCTACACAGCTCCTGACACAGCTCCTGCTTCGCTAAGGTTGGCCCATCCACAACCTAGTCGAGCCTCCGAGCACGGCAGCCAAGGGCAGTCCAAGCAAGGTGGATGTCTGAAAGAGATAGCAAGAGGAGGCTATATAATGGAGGTTGAGACATAGATCACCCGGAAATCTCCTTGATATACATTGATATACTTGATGGTAGCTCCTACCATTCTTGCTTTTTGAAGCTCGGATTGTGCAAGGGATAGCGCAGATAACCAAAAAACATTGCAACTTAGTTCAACACGGTAGGTAGGTTCGCAAAAAGGCGGACAAATCCGTAGCCTGGTTGATTTGCATGGCAGAGATTATCTCGTTCGAATCAACAGCAGACCAACTGACGTACCAGTTTTGAATTCAGTGCTTCGTTTGCCATAGCAGAACCACTTTCATGATCTTTCATGATCCATTCTGATTCATGATCATCAAGTAAGCCAGCTTGAAGCGCTCTGCGCCACCGCGGGTGTGGCAAGGAAAAGTGGAAGCGCCTCTCGTTTGGTCCGGCACACATTTCCTGTTGTTGCAGAGTCCAGCGTGTAACCTCACATCTTGGACGTCTGCTTTGTAGTTTGAAAGAGTTTCTTGCAAAGGGAGACTGCAAGGCACTATATAACAGCCAGCAAAACACACATATAATAATATATACATGTTGGGCAATGTTGGGATGGTTCGGGATGTGAAGCCACTATGGAAGACAGACAGTAGATTTAGTGGATTTATGTCAATTTATGTCTGATCAAAAAACTGATCTCTGCCGCTTCAGGTGCCGCCCAGTGGACCAAAGGCTGTCCATCAGGCCCAGCTGATGTTCCGCTAGCAAGATTCTCTTGACGATCAACGAGAGATCGCCGAAGTCGAACACAAATTACATATCTTTGGACCAAAAAATGAAATATGTTTCTGTCTGGAGGAAAGTCAAGAGATCAGCTTCAGGTATTGTAAAACTCTCAAAGCTGTTCTGCAACTAATTCCTTCCAAGCTTTGAATCCGATTAATCGGTAAAGGCTGACAGGCTTCAATCTCTATTTTTCCCTCGGCTACCAGTAGGACTGAAGGTGGTCTGCGGGCGCAGAGAGGTGATGATTCGAAATATTTTCTACCCTCATCCCTGGAATGATGATCCCACTTGACTCATATTTGCCGGGCTGGTCGGACACACCAGTCAGTTGAAGGCACCCGCGAAGGCTGGGCCGGTTTGGAGATCCAGTGATGGATTGGTTCTGTGGGGATGATATCATGGATGGTTCACACACTACCCATCTGATATCATCTGATTGAGGATAGGCAGAAGTGATTTGGTGATTTTTACTGCTTCTCTTTTGACAAGATCGGTGCAGACATGCATTTTACCGTTGGATTCTCACAGGGGTGGATTGGATCTCTGCTATACAAGGATATATTTGCATGAACATTTATACATTTCGTGAACTTTATACAATACGTTTTTTCTTAGTGGTCGGTTTTTATTTGCAGTAATGGTATCGTAATGTTACCATTAATGTGTGTATTCATCGAGGCACACCTGGCAAATCATTGCAGAGTCACTGGTGCTCCACTAGAACTTTGGTGGTTAGGAGCTCCCATGAAGCCTTAGCATTTCTGAAATTGTCTGAATGCCGATGTGAGGCTGTAAAGTCTGCCGGTTCAAGTGCGGCGCAATTTGTTCACGCTTCGAAACAGAACACTTTCATGTGAGAATCATGATCCGTGGTGCTGGAAGGCAGCTGGCCTCATTTTCATTGGGACATCAAGAGCCTGCCTTTGGATGGAAGAGCCAGGAAATCTCGTGGGAGTTCGTAAGGGACAATGGCAACTGGCCCTGTCGGCTCTGCGTAATGCTGAAGTGAAGCGCAGGGAACGAGATGTCATCGGTTTCAACGCAGCCATCAACGTCTGTCAATTGGTCGAGTTTTACTATATAGACTTGTTGAGGGTTTTAATTTTTCAAACAAGTTTTATATTTGGTCCATGATGATGATGGCCCCCAACATTCACTAACTAATATTCTCGGATGGGTTGAATGTCCACGAATTGTTTCTCAGAACAGATACTATATATTATATATTATATATATACAATTATATACACATACATGTGTGAATTTATGACTTTCGACGTTACTGCTGTGACATAGAAGTCTTTCATCCTCCATGGATTTTCAGGATAACTGGTTCGAGGATCACAGTTTTTGGCCAGCCTGTCTTGGATTTGTGGCCTTTGACGCAGTCCTGCTGAGGTAGGAAGGCCAAATGGCAGCACGCTTGGGGCTGCTTTCAGGAGGCTCAGGGAAGTGACATGAAGTTAGATGTTGTGACCTACAGCGTCACCATCAGTGCAGCAGCCGCTGCAGCCCAATGGCAACATGCCAGTGCACTCTTACATGAATTGAGAGGATGCTTGGTCAAACTAATTCGTAGACGTCGTAGACTTCAAATGCAACCTTCAACCTTTGTTCAGAAGTTGGA